ACTAATCCTACCGATTTCTGGTCTTGTAGGATTTATAAGTCTAGTGGATGGCTTAGTTTTGAATTCGGGTTTATGGTCCTTTAACAAGACATAGGCTTCCTTAGTTTGTAGTTTGCCTACCGATCACTAATTCGTAACTTATCAGTAATTGATTTACTGATACTGTTGATATTATTTACTTGGTTGAAATTACTAGTATCAATTTTTTGGTAGCATCTGGTTAGACTATCCTTAACTAAAGTATCATAATCCTTAGGCGATAACTTATAAAAGTTAGCCGTTTTTGTTGGATTTAACGTTATACATATCACCAGATTTATTAATATCACTGACAATACTTTCGAGATGTTTTTGAAAAGCATTTTTATACTTATAGAAGGTTAATCCCTTGACGGTATCCATTAGTTCATTTTCAAAAGCAGATAATTCCTTAATAATAGGTGCAGTTTTTAGGCTTTTAAAACCATAATTTTCGCGTTCACACACTGGTTCCTTGTCTTGAAGAAAGAAGTAAGCTTTCCATCTCATTCTTCTGATAAGGTTTTCAGTTTGCAGAGTTAAAATGTACGAAATAATCCCTTTTGTTTTGGTTATATATATATATATATATATATATATATATATATATATATATATATATATATATATATTTAGAAATTATATATAGTTATATAGAATTATAGTGAGCGGCTCGTCGTAGGTTTTGAACAAACACAAATGTACCTGAGCAGGATGGTTTGAATTCAGTTTTCCTTCTCCTAGATCATTTGTCACACAAAGTTAAAGAACCCAGCCTGTTCTGCTATTTATCCATAGTTGGGGAAAGAAGAAATAGATTCATACCTTTTCCAAGGATATTAGTACCCAAGTGAATGTAATGAAGTTGACTGGAATTCAAACTCTGCTCTCCAATTCCCCAATCCAAGCCACAATCCATTACTCTACCATACCTCCATATGCATACACACATACAAAGAGTAGCATTTGACTGATTTGTTTTTTATGTCTTATTAACCTTTTTCAATGACCGAGTGGTTAGAATGTTCACATTCTCACCATGAGACCCAGACTCGAATCTCACCATGGACAATTTGTCAGAAAGGTGACTTCCTGATGTTATCAGACTGGAGGGGTTTATCCCAGTATGCAGCACCTTTGGAAAGTGCCTGAAAACCATGACACAGGTTGACCCAAGCCTTGTGAGTGAAATTGGGTAGACAGAACCCTGTTGATAGCTGTGCTAGCATGAAGTCTCAATTCATCATGGCTGAGTATTTGAGCATACTAGCCTTGTTCAGATTGTTGATCACACTAGATAACACACTCTTTCCCAGAAACTGTAACTGAGCTCTATTCAACATAGCTGCAATATAAACCACAGGTGGGCTCTGTGGGTGTTGAATAAACACAAATGTGCCTGAGTAAGTGTCTGCAATAGGGATTGGCTAGCTGCCCTAGTAGATGGGTATCCTTGAGTACGAGTGGACAGCTATACTATAACCTTTTTCAGGTTAATTAAAGTCAAAAAATATTTTTAGATTCTAAGAATTTTGTGGACATAATGATTTACCAATAGAAGTCCTGGGGGGAGAGAAGAGGTGACTTCAGACCTTTCCCAGAAAGTTGTCTTTATTCAAGTATATGCTTCATAAAGTATGACATAAGATATTTTATGTCTCATGCTTCATAAAATATGACATAAGATGTTTTATGTCATATTAACCTTTTTCAAGTTAATAAAGTCAGAAAGTATTTTTAGATTGTAAGAATTTTGTGGATGTAATGATTTACTGATACAAGTCCTACTAACTAAACCTGGTGGGGGGGATAAAAGAGGTGGCTTCAGACCTTTCCCAGAAAGTTGTCTTTAATCAAGTATATGCTTCATAAAATATGACATAAGAAAATACAAGGTCTAATCAAAAAGTATTGGGACTATTGCTATGTTAACAGAGTTAAAGTATGGAGAGTAAAGCCATTTGGTAGAAACAGACATTTACCTCTGTCACACATACACCCTAAATTATAACATTCTTGCTCACTTCTGTTGCTATTAACAGTACTTGGAAGGAAAGGGTGTAGAGTGTGGTTATCTCACCATACCACAGAGATTTCATCAGTGACCATGGCTTGTGCAGCAGTTTTTGGCCAAGGACAAAATTCACGAGGTCCAATAACTGCTATATTCCCAAAATCTAACCCTTGTGACTTTTTCCTCTTCAAAAAAGAAACAAGATTTCAAGGCATTGAGACAATCCAAAGAGAATGCAATAAAGCAGCTGTGGTTCCAGGAAAGCTTTTATCAATGGAAACAATGCTGGATAAAGTTGTTGTGTCCACTAAAAGCTCAAATACAATATTTATAAACCAATCACACTCAAGAAAACATTTACATCTTAAAACACACCAATAAAATCATAGAATACAAATCAGAATGTTTGTCGTATTAGTCATCATTATTTTTAGGTACATACCGACCAAATATCGTGTGAATGTAGTAGAAGACATACCACATGCCCTTTTAGGGCCAATTAGGAATAAATAAATAATTTAATTCTGGAGCCAATTTTGTTAGAAAAAAGTGTATAAAACATAAGAAATATGGTCCCCAAGGAGGATACACATAGCTGTGATCAAACTACACATAATTCTCGCCTATGATCTTCACAACCTCATGCTGAAAGCGACAGCGTTGACAAACTTCAGACTATAGCAACACCGCTAACAGTAAGAAACAATTTCTATCTCTTGTAGTGATTTTCTAAGTCCGACTTAGATGTGGCATAAGGCCGAAAGTATGGGGCACCCAGTGAGGATCGAACTCAATACTCAGTTGTAATTGATCTAGACAAGCTTTCTAACCATTACACCATGTCAAGGTGCCCAATTTCTATCTCTTGTATCCGCTGTACTATGAATCATGCATACATGTGTTGACTTTTTCATACAAACACAAATATCACAACCTTTTATTGTTTCTCACATACGTACAAAAAAACAGTTTATATGTTATTTCAGAACTTTATTAACCCAAACAAAAAGACTTTACTTTCCAATCTATCAACAACTGCTTGTATTCTTGTTGCTATATTAAATTAATGTTTATTTGTTGAAACTACATTGTCTTTTCTACTGAATTTATTTCTTCAATGAAAATCATGTGATTATTCTAGACGGCCAAATTACGAGTGACCCCGTAATGATATTTTGTTATTGTATCGAATCCCAACACTCCAAATTTTAACATTCATTAAAAAACCGAATAGAAGTATTCCTACAAACTGTGTGGCTTCAGAAGAGGACTACTTCGAAGGGGATTAAATGCTGAATTAATATGTGTTGTAGTTTTCTTTTAATAGCAACAATTCTGATATTTTTTGATCAGACTTAATATAGAATCATTGCAGCATGAAAATCATAATTGTCACTAATCTCAGGATAAGATTTGTTTTATTTTAAATATTATTTTTAACGGATACCCATATTTGAGATGCCTTATTTTTCTAACCAGTGTGAATTACATCTCCCAGCTTGTGCATTCAAGAATCATAGAGAAAATGTTCCTTCCAGTAGAATTCACACCTGCACCCGTTTTGTAGGGGGAACCACCATTTGATCCAGCATGCTTTGGATATCTAAGGGGTCTAAGCCATGCTAGATCAGATGTTCCATTAAACATTGCTGAATGTAACCATTTTTCATTACTTCTTATGATATATTCAAGGAATGGTTTGTTAGGATGACATATTAGGTTGTCACACATAAAATGACACATTTTATAGGAAATTAATAAAATGCTTCTGAAGTGTTAAATAATTTATTTAGATGAAATAGGACCATGTTGATGAATGACTGTTCTCCAATGTAACTTTAAATTGTCATCCTTTGATGTGATAAACAGTTCAAATGCTTCGATTGTTTTTTTCCTTATTGGAGAATGTTTTATTGCATATGAAAAGCTCAAAATGCTTAAATAAGTGATAATCAATAGGAGAGATATCAGGTAAATATGGGGGATGAAGCAAAATTTTATAATTCAGGCTATGCAGCTTTTGGACAGTTGACTGAGTCGTGTGTGGCCATGCATTGTCATGCAGTAAAATTGGGTCATCTCTATTCACAAGTCTAGGATGTTTCTTTTTCAATTTTCCCAGTTTGTAATCATACTTATTAGATGACTGTTTCATTGTAATCATTTTCACTGGGCTTATAAGTAACAATATATTGAAAGAAAAACTATCAGGAATAAATCCGGATTTTTTATATATACTAAGGAGGTTACTTTTTTAGACGATCAGATTAAGAACCAAACCCCCAAAATGCCTCATTTCATGAATGACAATCTAATATTTATCATTAAAAATTGGTTTCCAAAAACAAGAATTACTTATGAATTAATATATTATTTATCACAGCAACAAAGATTGATTGCTTTTTATGGTTGATCAACCTTTTACAGGTTATTTAAAGCTGGAAAATATTTTCAGAGTGTTAGAATATTTTTTCAAGATAATAATGATCTACTGATCAATCAGTTAAGTGCCATACGTGATACATGCTTTGTCATGTTTCTTTCGATTCATGACTGATTAGGCAGAAGGTTTTCTCACAGTAGGTTGCCTTTCTTTCTATGATAGACTGGTTGCCAACCAAGGCTCTAGGACCCAGTCTATTCTGCTATTAAACATAGATGAGCGGAGTAAAGATGGATTCATACCATTCACAAGGGTATTTGTGTCTGAGTGTAATGAATCCGACTGGAATTTGGTTTCAACTCTCCGATTTCTCACTCTGAGCCATTATCCATTACACAACAGTGAACACTAACTGATAGGAGTCCTATTAATTAACCCATAGCTGAGGGGAAAAGATGTAGATTCATACCTTTCCCAATGGTATTTGTGCATAAATGAATATAATGATTCCATCTGAAATTGAAACTTAGCTCTCCAACTTCCAATTCTGTGCCGTTATCCATGAAATTCTTCATACTGCCACACCTACACCACCTGGTATTCTCAAGCAGTCACCCATTCAGGTACTGACCAGGCTCAATGTTGTTTAACTTCAGTGATTGTACAAGAACTGGTGTTTTAACATGATGTGGTGATAAGCCCCAGAGTGTGGAGAATCAGAGAGTTATTAACAATATAATATAAAGTAAATATTTATTATCAAAAAACAATGTGAACTTTTCAATATTAACAAAATTATTCAAAATATAATCCCCAGATGAAAATATTAAAAAGAAATTAAATAAAATAAGAACAGAAAAACTTCAAACTTGTTCACTATGCCAACCAAAATCAAATAAGTCAATTGATGACATTTTAGGATTCATTAAGTTAATGAGTGAAACAAGCTTGTCCAATTCTTGTCCAACCAGTAAAGTTATTATTGCAATAATGATTTTCTTCTGAATAAGTGTCTTTATCACAGTTATGCATGAACATTTAACGAAACTTAACTCTCTAGACAGTCAAAATCAGCCATAGTATGAATTAAGTAAGAATGCAAGTTTATTCATCATTCTTTGAATGGATCCTTTACTGATTCCAGGTTCTTGTTCAGCTTTCTAGGTGAACTTTGTCAAATAGTTTTCTTCAGTGTTAATAAATCTTGGGCAAGATCAGCAGCTGAAACAGTTCTTTTAAAATGACTGAAGCTGCCTGCTTCTCCATCTTGTTTTATCAACAGTTTGAGGCATTTATAAATCTACCATTCATGTATACATTTGGTCTGGTGGTTTTGATATGTATCTAGAGATTCTTGACAAAATTTAAAGAAGAATCTGCAACCTTATTGGTTTTGAACTGACATCTCAGCTTCAATTACTTTCCCCACTAACATAACATAGATCCTCTGTAACTTTTCTATAAATATTTTCATGGCAATTGATTGTACCTTGACGTCATGAGCAGTACTAGATTAGCAAATAGATCTTATCATTTTGCTGTTAAAATTGCTAAGTGTAAGTTCTATTCTAATAGTTTCTTCTCTCACACTTCTCAAATGTGGAACTCTTCCAGCTTCTTGCTTTCCCGTCAACTACAATCTACAAAACTTTAAATGTAACTCAAATTGTCATTTTCTGTTTCCTTGAATCCTGCTTTTTATTGTCCTTTATCCTGAATATTGTTTTCTCAGTTTCCTTCATTCTGTTGTCTTTCATCTTTGCGTCTTAGTGGCTTTATCACTTTGCTTGGGGTGAAATGATTAAAAAGAGGCATTCTCTAAAACATCACTGTCTCACTTCTATTTTTCTATAACTGACTGTCTGATTACTTCTGTCCAATCCTTTTACACCTCTCTTTCTTTTTTCTCTATATATATATATATATATATATATATATATATATATGTGTGTGTCATTAATAATTTTCTCTCTCTCTCTCTCATATATATGTCATTAATAATTTCTCTCTCTCTATATATATATATATATATATATATATATATATATATATATATATATATATATATATATCATTAATAATTTCTCTCTCTCTCTCTCATATATATATATATGTCATTAATAATAATCACTAAATTAAGTCCATTATCAAAGAAGGAGATTATCCTTAAAAATAAACATTTTTGTGTAAAATAAATCCCTTTTTATTATGATGATGATATGGACATTATACAAATGGCTTGAAGATTGCATTTAAGCATGTAACTGTTGATGATTGGTGTTGGCCTCAGTGTCCACATTTATATTTACTTATGCTCTATCTCTGATATTGTGCCTTAACACTTGGCCACAATGACTTGAACATTCAGGCCAGTAGGTGAAAATAAATAAATATACTATAAATGGACCATATACTCAAATATGAATATCCACTGATAATAATGTTTAAAGGGATAAAATAAAATCTGTTGGAAATCCATTCTAAATTATCTTTGTTAATATTTGGATACAAAACTGTGCAGATATGAAAAACTTTGGGAGGTCTGTGATGGGAGAAGTTTCACTTGAAAAGCATGAAAGTAACTTTGCCTGACCATCTGTTTCTTTGAGGCCAAGTAGTAATGTGCACGAGGGTAGATGGTGGCTCCCTCTACCCTGTGGAATGCAGGTTCAATTCCTGCCGAAGAGTGCAAATTTTTCTTTAAAAAGATTTCTCAAAAATTCAGGCTGGTAGATGAAAATATAAATAAATATACTGTTTAATATATGATTGTAGTGGCTACTCAAATATGAGTATTCACTCATAAATAATGCATAAAGTGATAAAAAATCGGTCCATTCTATAATATATATATATATATATATATATATACACACACACACACACACACATATATATATATATATAAATTCAGATGTTATAGATGAGATTTTAGGTTCAAAGGCCCTTTAACAAAATTATTCTACCACCTTAACATGTGAATACATTTATTTCTTGACCAAACAATATTATATATATATATATATATATATATATATATATATATATATATATATAAAACAGAAGAAAAACTTATCACTTGCTTTGATAAAGTCCTTCAGAGGATGAAACTCATTGGATAAGATAAGTTTTCCTTTTGTCTTTATGCATACTGTCCTTTTATCGATAGACTCTATCTGAAATTTTTTACACATATATATATATATATATATATATATATATATATATATATATATATATATATATATATGCATGCATGTGTGTATATACTAAATATTATGTACAAGAAAATGTTTCTAATGGAAGACCAGTTTTCAAAAATGTATTCAGTCTCTTGTTATCAAAAAAGAGTGCTGGGAACTTTTGCACACACCTAATACAAGAATTTTAATTATATCTGAGGGAGGGAAAATTGATATTTTGATGACGAATAACTTTTAATAGACGGTTTAAACTTATTGAGAGGTTGGGTCATTGATACATGAAATTTAGACTCTAGGGAAATGGTATTATTCCCTTCTTTGCTGACATGTTTTTGCTGATGGTATTAAGTATTTAATATGTGGAATTGCACAATAATATGAAATATTCACTGTTCTTTGTGCAGAAAGTAAAATTGGCAAACCAAGTTCAGATTCCCACCTAGTCTATTTTATTCACCTTCATATTCTTGTTCTTGTCTCTCTTCTCTCTATCCAAACTATGGGTTAAATAGCCAAGAGGACTGGGATATAGACCATTGGCTGGCAGCAGGTCTAGGTGAAGAACAATTCTTAATTCTGGATTAGAGAGAAATTTTGGGTTACTCCACATAGCTTCACCATTTTCACCAAGATATTGTTAGCGAGAGCTGCCAAACATTTCTAAGAACAGGACACTTCCAGTCTTCATACTCTTCTCTCTCTTTTCCACCCAGTATGCTATAGTGATAACATCCACAAGACCTTGTTCCCAAGCATGGGGATATTTTTGTTTCACTCACTGTATCACCCACATAATTGCTAACTTTTAATGACTTCTTTCTGTTGCATGTATACTAGTGTATTTTCTCTCTCTTTGTAATCTAATCCTGGGTATGACGATAAACTACATCTGGCAGCAAGTGATTGGAGGTTTTGAAAAATATGGAATTACCTCTTAATTGCTGGTGTTCCCAGGTCCACCTTCACCCAGAGTGGTAGCACCTGTTAGGGTCCCAGCTATGAGCAAATAGTGAACCCCCAAACAAAAACAAAACACTATAAAAGTATAAAAATGCAATTTTATAGTAAAAATACCAGCAACACATTTTTATATAAATATTTAAAAAAATGACGAAAAATACATTTTATCTGTAGCTGAAGGTATACAGTTGCATTCAGATTTCGGCATTAAATGACCCATATTGGTTGATATGCCTCTAAACAAAATCAACCATCATGAAAGAACTCTTTCATAACATTAATCCATATAATATCCTACAATTTAAAGAAATCAAACTGTATTCCAAAATATAACTTAGACAAAACTACAACACAAAATACACATATCATTACCTCTAATAATTATGTCCACCCAAAAATGTCTATGCACAAAGCTGAGTATCATGTACCATGTATTCAATTGTGAAAGCAGAATAATATATATCATATTTTTATTATTTCAAAGTTTAAAGAAAATTAAATTTCACCATTAAATGACCCATAAGGTGTTGATAAGCTATTAAACAAGCAAATCAAATCAAATTAGACTCAACTGGACTCACCAGTTCCCCATGCCCAGTCAAGAGTAAGTCTCTTCAGTGCTCCACTAGTATGCTTTTAGTAATTCTGTCATATAGATGGCTCTGATTTCCAGTTTCTTCAGCTTCTTTCATTAGCCCATTCATGTTCTTCAACTTCTGAGCTCCCTGGCAAGGTTGAGATCACAACAGGTGGGCAAGTATACTTTGTACTCAGTTGTATAAAAGCAAAAATATAAAATATCGCAAATATTACCTTGTTCGAATTCATTCATTTCTTTACACTCATCATTTACTTGTGCAAAATTTTGTTGCTACTGCTTTTAGTCTAAGAGAAGTGCTGTAACAAAGTCAATGCAGAGGGAAACCAATGCACAATGTCACGGCAATTTACAGATATTTAAAAAGAAAAAGAAAATGATATTTTGGTAGTGCCATGTTTGCCAATATCTTGATAGAATGTGTCATTAAAGGGAGATTTCAGTAAAAAATATATTAGTGATAGCTTTAATTCAAAGGTTGTTTAAAAAGTAATGACATATAAAAATTAATTTTTAAATATAAAAGCGAAAGATTTCCAATATATATATATATATATATATACTATAATTCACCCAATACAAGACTGAAGAGCTCATCCTGGGTATGACGATAAACTACATCCACGTCCTGGGTAAGATGATAAACTACATCCAACAGCAAGGCCTCTGATAATACATTTTTGAAAAAATAATGATGCCAGCTATACGTTTTTTTTTAAAGAATACTGTTGCCAGCTATACGTTTTTGGAAAAAATAGTATTACCAGCAATACGTTTTTGAAAGAATTATGTTGCTAGCTGTGTGTTTTTGAAAAAATGATATTACCAGCTATATGTTTTTGAGGAAAAAATATTAACAGAAATAGATTTTTGACAAAACAAAAATATTACCAGATAAAAAACAGAAAAGTTGTCAGCATTAAATGACCCATTGAGGTTGATATGCCGTAAAACAAAATAAACCAAACCAAGGCACAAGAGCCCTAAGAGTAGAGGATTACTTTTAAAATGCTTATGATGAAGGAGATGTGTGAAATGAATGAAAAACAGGATGGTAAGAAGTGAAGATTATGAGGATTAATTACCCACATAATCTTCACTTCTTACCAGATAATAACTGACCTTTGACTTGACGTTAAGATTGTGGTGCAGAATGTTACTGTTGAAATGATTATGATGAATGAGTAATGACATATAAAAGTTAATTTTTAAATATAAAAGTGAAAGATTTCCAATATAATTTGTTATACTATAATTCACCCAATACAAGACTCGAGAGCCCTAAGAGTAGAGGATTACTCTTAAAATGCCTATCATGTAAGAGGGTTGTGACAGGAATGAAAGAGGAGGTGGTACAAAGTAAAGATCATGAGGATAAAGAGGAAAGATATTTATTGACCTTTAACTTGATTGTAGAGTTCAAGGAAGTACCTATGCTGGAGTCTGTTCCAAAAAGTAGTAATAGTTGGGGGTGGGGGAAGCTATCTAAATGAAAGTCTCTTCTTACATTTGGAACAAAGATGATTTGACTCTGTGAACGTGGCATAATATTTTCTAATAGTAAAGGTCTGAACTAATGGAATTAAAAGAATAGGGTTCATCTGAATGGAAATAGAGTAGAGATAGGCTTGTAATGTTACATCTGTAAGGAAAGAGACTGCAGAATAGAGAATAATTTTTCTCCTACAAAGATGTGTAAACAATTTTGAACTCTGTCAAGGCTTTTTGGTTTAATCTGACTCTTGTAATGATAAAGCATGGCAGAAGGAGTCTGGTACCTTCTGGAGTGAGGGAATGAGCTTCATTTTAGATTTTAACTAAAACCAATGTAAATGTTTTTTTTTTGTTTTTCTTCAACTGGCATATTTCTCCTATATCTTTCAGCCTCAGTATACAATTGGTCTCAATGTCTCATCTGACTATTTTAAGGATATAATGTGTCAGCAGTCAGTATTTTCTGGGGTGATAGAATGATGGCTGACCATTTTTCCATCTTCATTTAAGATTTGGACAATAAACTCAGAAAAATTTCTTCTTTTGAAAGATTTGTCTAGTATTCACTGAAGAGTGAGGCAATTGTATTTTAAATACAAAATGTGACTAACTTGATTTTTCAACATTGATTAAGTGTTGTAACCTAGGAAAGTTTACTGAATAGAATAATCAAACAAAGGTTGGTAATGAACGATAATACTTAAGATACGAACAACACATATAAGATTCACCATCAGCATGTACTAGAAATAATCAACTTGTATGCTACAACACCTTAGTAACTCAACTCTAAGTTTTCGTTCCCTATATTCAACTCACAACTATTCTGGACCAATATGTATATAAATACATATATTTATTTTTATAAATAAATTATAAATTGCTAACACAACCGTCAATGGCTTCTGAATAGTTCTGTCTAACCAGTTTCACTCACAAGGCTTGGGTTAACTCATGGTATTGTTTTCAGGTACATTCCAAAAGTGTTGTATGCTGGTCTGATATAATCAAAAATCACCTCACTATCTGTTGTAGAGTAGTTTTCACAGTGGAGGCTTGTATTTCAATAAGTCGTCCTAAATTAGGTTCGACGTACAAAACGTTAGGAACTAGAATGAGTTAATGACACAGCAATCTAGTTGTGATAGTTGATACTTCAATGTCCGACATTGACTGACTCACTCAACACCACTGAGCCCAACTGGCCACTGCTACTACTACTTATTATCTGTGGGGGAGAGTCTATTACAATAGAATAGGTATTATGGTATAACACTATCAAACTATGGTGTGATTCAAACTTGAGTCTCGTGTGAACATTCTAACCACTCAGCCATGCACCCACACCATATATATATATATATATATATATATATATATATATATATATATATATATATATACACACACACATATATATATATATATATATATATAATTTTTTGTGTGGCATGTTTTGTCGCTTAAGACTTCATCAACCTAAAGCAGTGGTTCTCAAACAGTGTGGCATGCCTCATATGAGTGATGGAAGAGGATAGCAAATAAAGCGGAGTAATTGAAAGACAAAGATTTAAAAACAGTTTCAAAAAATTCATATGCCAAAAATAAATGATTTCAAAATTTAAAACATTATGGTTTGCTTGTGATTACATGCATGAGTCCCAGTATAGTTATAAATAATTATTGACTGATTTTATCATTGTGATATTTTTGTATTATATCAAGTATTAGGAATAATAGTGATTAGAGGCCACAAAATGGAGAAGAGAGTTATCAATGATAATGTTCTGACTTGAAATCTGGGGTTATCTCCCTTTGACCTTGTCTTTG